CATCCATAATGTGATTCTAAGAAGCATTGGTATTCCAGCTGTCTGTCCCTTATCTCAGTCTTTTCTAAAAATGTTTTAGTTTGTAATATTTTGCTCCGCACTGATTATTCTTTATCCATGTCTCAGTAATTCCCACTATGTCTGGTTCCTTCCAGTAGATGATTGCCTTCTGACCTGCTGTTTGATTCTGTACATTGTGTTGCTGTGACGAATTTTAACTAATTTAACTCATTTTTGCTTTGTTTAGCCATCATGTAAAATGAATGATGACCATGAATCCATTGTTGATTGTTGGAAAAACCCACCAGATTCACTGATGTCCTTTAGGGAAGGAAACTGCCATCCTTATCTGGTCCAGCCTATATGTGACTCCACACCCACAGTAATGTGGTTGACTCTTAACTGCCCTCTGGGCAATTAGGGATGGGCAATAAATGCTGCCTAGTCGGTGATGCCAACATCCCACGAATAAATAAAAGATAATTTTTGGTACAATCTCCATGTCAATCTCTTTTTCAACCCATGGTGCCTGGCTCCTGATCCATTACATCTCTATTCCTGAACATCTGTTTTCCCCGGGGTGTACTATCTAGGTGGAAATTCTTCCCCCTCTCTTTATTTCTTACTGCAGAGTAAGTTGGAGACATTTTAACTTGAGAGGGACTCTGTCCATAGCCTCCACGTTTTGTTATATCTTGGACTTGTTTTATTTAATTAAAGCCTTGTTTTAGTCTTTCATGGGAAGGATGCTGCTGTCAGCATTTACTGTCCAAATTCTCAATTTTCTAAGTCAACTGAGTCTGAGTACAGTTGCAAATCAACTACTTTGTTGTGGGTCTGGAGTTGCAAGTATGCCAGACATTATTGAACCAGATGTGTTTTTATCACAATTGACAATGATTTCATGGTTACAGTTGGACTAGCTTTTAATTCCATGTTTATTAATTCAGTTAGAATTTCACTATCTGCCTTGGAAAGATTTGAACCCATGTCCCCAGAGGATTAACCATAAGCTCTGGATTGCAAGATTAGTGACAATACTATCGCTGTATCACTTCTCCACTAACTACAAATAACTCATCAATTACTATATGTAAAAATTACACTATCCATTTAATATAGTGCTTGTACATTCCTGATCTTGGTTCAAACACATGTAGAAACAGAAAGAAATTTTAAAATTCACCAATCCATTACCAATCCAATTAATATCAGAGTTTCAGCTGTAGGGAGTCACTGTGTGCAGCTCCTTTCTCTGAACCACATTTATTCTATAGAAGCGCAAGATGACTTTAGGCATTGTATTGATGAAATTCATTTTTGTACTGTTTAGGAAATCAAGTTGTAACTTATTGTTACCTCTCTTTTGAGTGTGACTTTTCCATAATGAAAATTGCCATGGCATCTACCTGATGTTGCTTTTTGTATGTGTAGTTTCCAGTTATGATGACTATTCCTGATTAATAGGATCTCAAAAATAGAAATTATACTTGAGACTATTCATGATTGCATATTTGAGAAGGCGTTTTATACCCGCATGGCATATTTGGTGGCAGGAAGGGCTTTTAATAGAACACAGAACAATACAGCACAGGAACAGAGCTTTCAGTCTCTCATTTCAGCGCTGACCATTCTAAACTAATCCCATTTGCTTGCACATGATCCATGTTCTTCTGTTCACAGTCTGACCATGATTCTGTCTGCATGCCTTTTAAACTATTGTTCATGCTTCTGCTGCCTGCCCTGGCAGTGGTACCCAGGTACCTATAATCCTCTATTCTTTAAATAAAACTTGCCTTGTACATCTCCTTTTAAACATTTTCCCTCTCTTACCTTACACTTATGCCCCCTAGCATTTGACACCCTGGGGAAAAGACTCCCAAATATCCACCCTATGAATCACCTTCCACCAGTCTCTTAATTTTATATCCTTCTATCAGGCCGCCTTTCAGCATCCGATGGTCTAGCAGAAATAGTTCAAGTTTGTCCAACATCTTACAGCTACTACACTCTAATCCAGGCAACATCCTGGTAAACCTTTCTTGCACCTTCTCAAAAGCCTCCACATCCTTCCTGTAGTGTGGCAACCAGAATTGAATGCAATCTTCTAAGTCTGGCCTAACCAAACTTTTGTAAAGCTGAAACTTCACTTCCTGACTCTTGTACTCAGTGTCTAGACCAATAAAGGCAAGCAGGCCATATGCCTTCTTTATCATTCTGTCTACTTGTGTGGCCATTTTCAGGGAGCTATGGACTAGGACCCCAAGATCCCTCTGTACATCAATGCTGTTAAGGGTCCTGTCATACTTTCCCTTAACATTTGATCTCTCAAAGTGCAAAACCTCGCTCTTGCCATTTCTCCACCCATATCTGCAACTGATCTATATCCAGCTGTATCCTTTGAAAACTTTCTACACCATCCACAACTCCCCTGCATCTTTGCATCATCTTCAAACTTACTAACCCATGCATCTGTTTTCATCAAGTTATTTATATAAATTACAAAGAGAAGAGGTCCCAGTACAGATCCCTGCGGAATGCCACTAGTCACAGACCTCCAGCCAGAAAAAACACCCTTCGATCTCTACCCTCTGTCTTCTATGAACAAGCCAATTCTGAATCAAATTGAAACCGAAACAACTGTGGATGCTGTAAATCCAGAACAAAAACAACATTGCTGGAAAAGCTCAGCAGGTCTGGCAGCATCTGTGAAGGAGAAAACTGAATCAAATTGGCCAAGTCACCATGGATCCCACGCATCGTAATCTTCTCGATGAGCCTACCATGAAGAACCTTTGTTGAAAGACTTACTAAGATCCTGAGAGGTCTTGACCAATGTTAGGTGGAAAACAGGTTTCCTCTGCTCTTGACTACACTTTGAGGCATGCTTTTTAATTTGCATCCTAACTCCCTATATCTTGTTTTTAAGATCTCATTGCCTTTTATTACCTACCTCCCTGGACACTGGGCAATTTAGCATGGCCAATCCACTCTAATCTGCACATCTTTGGACTGTGGGAGAAAACCGGCACACCCGGAGAGAATGTGCAAACTCCACATAGACAGTCACCAGAGACTGGAAACCAATCTGGGTCCCTGGCTTTGAGGCAGCAATGCTAAACAATGAGACTGTTTGTTTGTTTGCTTCATTACGGCAATCATAGAATCCCAACAGTGTGGAAGCAGACCATTCAGCCCATCGAGTCTAGATGGACCCTCTGAAGACTCAAACCCACCCCTCTATCCTATCCCTGTAACCCTGCATTCCCCATGGCTAATCGATCTGTCCTACACATCTCTGGACACTGTGGGCAAGTTAGCATGTCCAGTCCACCTAATCTGCACATTTCTGGACAGTGGGAGAAACCGGAGCACCCGGAGGAAGCCCATGCAGACACGGGGAGAATGTGCAAACTCAAGGGTACCTGGCACTGTAAGGCAGCAGTGCTAACCACTGAGCCACCGTGCTGCCCTTATTGCATTTAGTGCAAAACATTATTGCATTTTTAAACTTTTCCCAGTTCTGATGAAAGATCATTGATTTGAAATGTTAGCTCTGTATCTCTCTCCACAGATACTGCCTAACCCAAGTATTTCCAGCAGGTTTTTACTTCAGATTTCCAATATCCCTAGTATTTTGCTTTTGATTTACCAAACTCACTTAACCAGTCTACTGCCTTGTACTACTGTAGCACTCTGTCCAAGATGCTAATCCCAGTCGTAGCCATTGCTCTAAGGTACCAAAATGTTTTTTATGATTTCTCAGCAATGATTGATGACCAATTCTGGCACCTGTGAAAATTGAGCAAAAAATCAGATATGATAGCATCTGTGGAGAGAATGTAAAGTTAATACTTTGAGTCCGGTGACCCTTCTTCAGAATTGGGAAATGTTCTTTCTACCAAATAGTCCCTGGTTAACAAATTTTACCAATATTCACTGTAAGCCTCCATCTTATTAAAATACAAGTTTTACAAATGGCGAACTGTTGTCACAAAACCATGTAATTAATTGATCACCCATGTCTGAAATAGCAACCTCATTTTCAAGAGTCAAGTCATTCCATTGCAAAATTAGGTCGAGACCAAATTTATGGATTTACTCATTTTCATCTTTATATATTCAACTTTAGAGTAGAAAGTTTGAGATGAACAGATGACTTCAGAACAATGATTACCAAATCTTTCTGGGACAGGGGACTTTCCATACCCCATGTCTGGGTCAGTTGCAGACTGATACGATTGGTCAATAATTTCATTATTGCTGTATCATGTGATTTCTAGGATCGTAGAAGGTATATTAGATTGACTATAATATTATTTCTTTTAACAATTCCTATGTTCTCACATGAAGGGTTATATGGAAACAATATAATACAGAAGGCAATGGCCTAGTGGTATTATCACTAAACTGTTAATCCAGACATCCAGGTAATGTTCTGGGGACCCAGGTTCAAATCCTACCACAGAAGATGTTGGAATTTGAATTCAAATAAAATCTGGAATTAGGAGTCTGATGATGACCATGAAACCATTGTCAATTGTCAGAAAAACCCACTTGGTTCACTAATGTCATTATTTGGTCCGGCCTACATGTGACTCCAGACCCACAGCAATGTGGTTCACTGCCTTATCAGCTATTAGGGATGGGTAATAAATGCTAGCCTAGCCAACCATGCCTACGTCCTGTGAATGGAAAAAAGTAGCAGGCTATTTTGCCCCTCCATGTTCCACCATTCAAAGTGATCACAGCTGATCTGAATCTTAACTCCATATACCTCCTTTCTGTTACAATTTTGAGATCATTGATATCTTTGGACGACAGATTTAAATTTAGTCTTGATCTACCACCAATTCCCTTTGAAGAAGAGAGTTTCAAATTTCTATGATCCTTTGCATGTTAAATTAATCTTGTCCCTGAAGGGTCTGACTTTATATTCCAGAAAGGCAGACAGTGAAGGATCAGACTGGAGGAAATCTTTACATGCTTTAAGAACCATTTATTTGCAGAGATACATGTTACCAATATGCACCTTCCAACTCAACAATTCCATAGGTTCCTACATAAAGGTGCACAAATGAATCTTCAGTCAATTCCCACCATCAATTAATATGCAATTAACACCTGACTCTCTAACCAGTGAAATTAGCTTTTCTCTTTTTCTGTTAACTATTCTCCTTAATAAATTGAAAATCAAATAATTGTGCTTATTTGTTTCAAAATCAAAGGAAATCATCAAAACCATTTTTATGTATTCACCTATCAGATGGTTGCAAGAATATCCAGGTTCCTTAGTTTCTATGCTCAGTGAATATTCATTTCTCCAATCAGACAATTCCATCATATCCTTGAATTCCACACTTTCTCCCTGCAATTTGACAACCAAATATCAACGATTCCTGAATAGATTTGCCTGTGGGAAATACACAGCAAAGAGTGTCAGGCTAAATTTTCATTCATCGTGGTCACTCACAAGTTCAGGATGTACAACCTAACTGACTTTGGTAGAATGTGTTCGTACACTGTAACACTGTGAATTCACAAGATTAAAAAAAACATATGGGCATCACTGTGGAGAATACATTTTAAAAAGCTATTAGTTATCTTGACAAACGTTAGAATAATGCAATCCCTAAGGCACATGTGCAGCAAGTCAAATGAGATTATCTTTGGAGAAAACTTTTTTTCTTAAGGTTTATTTTTTTCAATATTTTTTACATAGAATCCCAACAGTGTGGAAACAGGCCCTTCAGGCCAACAAGTCCACACCGACACTCAGAGCATCCCACCCAGGCCCATCCCCCTAATCTACACATCCCTGAACACTGGGCAATTTAGTATGGCCAATCCACCTAGCCTGCACATCTTTGGACCGTGGGAGGAAACCGAGGCACCCGGAGGAAACCCACCTGGAGGTTGACTTAGTGTCAATAAAATACAATCATAGCACATCCACCACAAAAAGACAAATGTATCAAATCATCAAAGATAGACCTACCATTGTACAATGAAAATAATACAGCTGCATTGAATGTATCTCCTGCTCCAAGGGTATCCACAACATTTTCAGGGGGAAAGGCGTTTGAATGAAAGATTCCATCAGGACCCATTGCATCAGCTCCCTTCTCAGCCCAGGCACAGATTAGGTAAGCACTAAAGATCAAAAAGACAATCAGGTCTACCGGTCATAATAGTGTAATTTTGTGTTTTCAATGGTCATTTCATTTACATTTGAGGAAGGGCAATTATTGATGGAAGAGCTTAATCAAAATAATGGGCACTGAGAGTATCAGAAACAAAGAGATTGCTGCTAGACATGCTTAAAAATTCAGGCTAATAGAACCACAAAAAACCAAGACATGCTGGTTATTTCTAGAGAAAATAGGACTGGAGGGTTTTGGAATGGTAGGCTGATGAGTTCCCTTTCATTGCCAATTTTGCCAAAACTGAGGTGGGAGCATCGGTGCCAAGCAGCGATGGAAAGTCAATTTGAATATTTAACTGAAAACTGAGAACTGTGGATGCTGTAAATCAGGACAAAAACAAAGTTGATGGAAAAGCTCAGCAGGTCCGGCAGCATCTGTGAAGGAAAAAAACAGAGTTAATGTTTCAGGTTCAGTGACTCTTCCTCAGAATATTTAACTGCTCACTTCCTGGCAGAGTGGGGTCACTGGGTGCTTCTAGGCAGTGGATGGACACCCACTGAAGGTGAAGCCCAGCTGCGGGGTGGGGAATTCTTGCCAGCAGCTGACCTGGGGATCTGAACCTTCCATTGCTTATATTCCCTGTCAGCATATTTTCTGAAATAAGGCTATAGGCCAGCCCCTCCACAAATATGGCCTGGCAGCCAAGTCTTAAGTATTTTTAAAAATTCATCACCTGAAGGCCTCTTCAATCTGTAAGCACCCTTACATTCTCCTGCCTGCCATAGCAGTGCCCTCCTCTTCTGATGGGGCTGGCTGCAGGTCAAAGCTGAAGGCTTTCCCATGAGCTGGGTGACTGTTCAATTTCAGGACAGCAAACTAAAGATTGACTATTGATTTGCTATGTCTGGTAAGTTCATATAGGTGTGTGGCCAGGATTTGCTTTTGGTCCCAAGCTCAAAATCTTCAAATATGGTAAGATTTCACTCATAGAATCACAAATTTATTACAGCATAGATATAGCACTTTCAGCCATCATCCATGCCAACTCTTTGTAGTGCAATCTAGTCATTCTCATCTCTCCCCATCTTCATAACCTCGCAAGTTTATTTCCTTCAAATGCTAATCAATTTCCTTCCAACACCCTTAAAGACAGCAGGTTCCAGGTCACTCCACTCCTTCATCTCATGTCCAAAATATTCTATAAATTCTATAAATTCTAATTTTCTACTAATAACTATCTTACTCTTGTCTCAAAAAGAGAAGGCTGAGGGATGAAGTTAGCAAACAGTGTTTTCACTTATGGGGAAGAGCAATATAAGATAATCACTAAAAATTCAGAAGAAACTTTTTACCCAAACAATGTGGTATGCTGTAACACAAGGACAAGTGAAATGGAATGAATGAGACAGATGCATAGATAAACATGAGGGAAAAGGGAATGAGTTACACTCGAATAGTTGGACGAAGGATCAGGATTAGCCTAAATATTGATTTGGATTGGTTTGCCCGAATGACCTGCTAGTCCACTGTATATTCCACCTAATTCTGCATGTTTTACATCAGGCTCCGCTAAGGTAAATTCCATGTTCACACTGCTGCAGATGCTTGAACATAGAGGCTAGCTGCAATGGCCTTGAAGGCAGGTGGCGGAATGGTACTAAAGCCCTAAAGTTACATCAAATGTTCATCTTTAAAATTCTATTAATGGTGGTGGAATGTGACAAAAATGCCCTTGAATTCAGGAAAAAAGAACACAAAGAACTGCTGGAAATCAGAAACAAAAACAGAAATTAGAGACAAAAACAGAAATTGCTGGAAAGACTCAGCAGGTCTGGTAGCATCTGTGGAAGTCTGCTCTCATCATCTCTAAAGTGTGGAAACAGGCCTTTCGGCCCAACAAGTCCACCCAGACCCATCCCCCTATAACCCACCTAATCTACACATCCCTGAACACTATGGGCAATTTAGCATGGTCAATCCACCTACCCTGCCCATCTTCGGATTGTGGGAGGAAACCGTAGCACCCGGAGGAAACCCACGCTGACACGGGGAGAACGTGTAAACTCCACAGAGACAGTTGCCCGAGGGTGGAATTGAACCTGGATCCTTGGCGCTGTGAGGCAGCAGTGCTAACCACTGAGCCACATGCTGCTGTTCTGAAGAAAGGTTGCTAGACCTGAAATGTCAATTCTGCATTCTCTCCACAGATGCTGCCACACCTGCTGAGTTTTTCCAGCAATTTCTGTTTTTGTTGCCCTATATTTCAGATCTCCTCTTGTACTTACCCTGGCTTTACTCGGTTGTAAAGTCCTTTTACAGCTTCTGATGCCGAATTAAACCCAAAATGTCTGGCAACATCTTTGCTGATGAAAACCTAAGGCATGTATACACACAAAGCAAGCATTGTTTAGTCTGATTTTTATTCCTTCAAATTTATATGAGTGCTTGTTTCAGGTATAGCAAAATTTTTGTTATCTGGCACCATACAAACCAGAATGATCCAGCAACCAGAATCTCTGATAACCTCCCAAATGGAACACTCAAACACAGAAAATAGGAGCAGGGGTAGGCCATTCAGCCAGTTGAGCCTACTTAATACAAGCTGAATACATAACAGCAGGAGAAAACCTAGTCAACAAAATTTGCAGGTTAATTGCTGGTTAATATCTTTTGAATGCATTTGATTCCTCCTACAATTGTTTTACTTTGCAAAAATCTATACTAAGTAATGTAGCAAGTACTGAAAAACCTTTTGCTGACTTCAAGTTTCTGCTCAAATCAGTTGCTCCCAGTGATGGGTGCACAAAGAGGCAAGCAAGTGAAATGTAGCTGCTTAGTTGTCTACCAAACAATAATTGAGTGCAAAAAAGATCACTCCACTGGTCATTTTGACAGGTTGTTAACTCAAACATTGTTAAATCAATACAAGTGTTATTAAATGTCAATAGATGGGTTAGTTTAACATACTCATTTCATATGATGGCCTATTCTTTAACATTCCTGAAGTAAAACGTACCACGTCTCCATGCCCAAAGAGTTGGTAAAGTTCTTCTCTTGTTTTCTCAATCTCCACAGAGGTGGTAATATGTTGCTCTGCTGACACGGTGGCATTGTACTGTTCAACTTGCTGTATCATAGCAACCTGCTCAGATACGTTTCGGCCCTAGTCATCAATAATAATTATATAAAATATGCTATTATTGTTGACATTTTGTAATTTTTTTTTAAAAAGCATACTGATATACAAAGATATAAGAGACAACATAAGTAATTCCTTAAGCGCTTTGATGGGAGGATGGGAACAGGTTATCTATCTGTCTTTTTATTGCTGGAGCTATGTGGCCTCCAATATGAACACAAGGTGGAGAAGCAGGAAGAACTGAGGCTGGGGAGAAGGTGTTGCATGTGTTCGTTGATAGATAGCAACTTGCCAACAAATAAAATACAAATTCAGAAAACCTGGTACAATTTGTTTGTTGGGCAACAGAACAGCCAGAATTTGCTAAATAAATATTGACATGTTAAACAGTATGTGTTGCAAGATGGCCAGCAACTTGTGGCAAGGTGGAGATACTCAGCACTGAATGTCACCAAATTTGGCTAAGCCACATTTCTATCAAGTTCATGGAGGATTTCTCCAGCTTTCTCACACTATTGTCCCCGACTTGGCTCATTAGCTACTGATCATGCCCCAATAGCACCCTTCTCATCCTGGAATAGACCATCATCCTTAGCAACTGCATCACCTTTAAAAGGCGGTTGCACACCCAGATGTCAGAGATGCCCTGCATGATTTGTAATATTTGCCCCAGAGATGACAGAGAAGAGAAAATTGGCACTCCATTTTGCGGACAGGGAGCTGGAAGTCTGCATGGACAGGGTCACACAGAAGGGTAGACCACTACGTCCAGGATTGGCAGAGGAGGCCGTAACACCAAATGCTGCCTGCCTGCTGTGAGGTTTCAAACCAGGTCAGTGTGGTCTCGACTGTATTTAGGTATGCTCCGTGGAGGAAAAAGGTCAATAAACTCCCCACTTTACCTGAACAGGTTACCGCTATCTTTTCTACGCTACCTCACATTGACTCTATTTGAGTTAAAAAGCTTCTGGCTCTTAATATTCATTCTAGATATAAGTTAAAGAATATTTCCCAAATGGATGATAGATTTGCAGAATCAGGTACGCAGTACTTCAAAATCAAAGATGCAGGATCATAAGCTGCAGGATCATAAGCTGCATGTTCAGCAGTGCCACTAGTAAGTACAAGTACAGGCAAAAATGACATTGTGAAATTTTACGCTTTGGAACGAAGAATTCTTACTGTTGATGCACATGCCTCTATGGGCACCGCTCTTGTGCTCACCAGCAATAAAAATACTGCTCTCCCATAACAGCACAACAAGCACAATCTTAACATAACCAAACTTCCACACTTATAACTCATTTTCTCTCCAATCTTACAGGCACCAGTGGCATCTGTACAGTCTCTCCGAAGAGACCGGCCCCTCAAAACATTATCTTCTGCACTTCTGAGGAAGAACCCACAGATCCCTCAGAGAAAACGCCAATTATGCTGTCTCTTGCATCTTCCAACAGCTCAGATAGTGATATATTGGTGGATACTCTAGCTAGATTAGACTTGGGAGCATATTCTGGTGAGCAGATTACTGGTAGATGCCTGCGGCTAGCTGAGGAGGAAATGCCAAAAATCACTAGTATTGAGAGGGCTGCCAGAGCCCAGCAGGAGAGGTGTTGGCAATTAGTAACTTCATTCAAATGCACAGTTAGACACAGGAGCAGCAGGCAGGATTGTCAGAGACACTTGGAAAATGGGATTGAAGGTTGGAGGAGACATCAATACTATGTGTACTGTGCTAGCTCTGGCATGCGTGTGTCTAGCTGCTTCAGTAGAGAGGTTGGTGGATGCATGGAGACCCAGGTCCAGCACATTCCATATCTAGTAGATGTATGTACATACTCACACTGTCGCTCTGCCACTGGTGCTCACCTTCTGAGGGCATGTAAGTGGTATGGGTGAAACATGATTGTAAATACATCATCATATTTTTAAAGACGTTCACTTTTCATCATCAGCTGTGAGCGAATGTCATTGTAACTGCCTTTCTGTAGTGCCCATACTAACATGAAACTTTGCTGGGATTAAATGGGGGGCGTGAAGCAAAGAATCCAAGGATTAAGTGGTGCCCTCAATATGTACTGTACTGCAACAGACCCCCAGATAGGACATGTACGGGAACCTAATGTGAAGGGGACATCTTATGGCACTTGGTTGGCCTCATTGGAAGAAAGTGTTGTATTGCAGACATAGCAGAAAATGGAGAACGTTTTACAAGGTTGCCATTTATCTGGATGATGTGCTAATATTAGGGAAGACCAATAAGGATCACTTAGAGAACTTGGGCATAGTCCTTAGAAGTGTCTCCAAAACGGGAGTAGATCTTAGAAGTGACTTATGTGGGTTAGAGAGTCCATAAGACTGGGTTACACCTGTTGGAAGATAAAGCGAGGGTAATCAAAGGTGCCCCAGCTCCCAGTCTGTACCGGAGCTTACATCTTTCCTGAATTATCAAGGAAAGTTCATACGCGACCTGGCCTCCGTCCTGGTACCCTTACATCTGCTACTGAAAAAGGATCAGTCTTGGAAATGGTCATGTAGCCAAGACTTTAGAGAAGCGAAGAAGCAGCTATCATTGTCTAAAGTATTGGCACACTATAATTCCAAGCGAGATCGGAAGTGGACATGCGATGCCTTCCCATATGGTATTGGAATACCATTGGCTCACAAATGGCCCAATGGAGTGGAATGCCCAATAGTATATCCTTCCAGCACTTTGGCTGATGCAGGGCACACATACGTCCAGACAGAGGAGGATGGTTTGGCAGTCATATTTGGTGTGAGGAAGTTCCACCAACACCCATAAATTTGTAACAGTAACAGATCACAAACTCCTGCTCGGGATACTCAAAGGCTGTGCTGCCCATAGCTTCAGGTCAAATTCAGTAATGGGCTCTCATTCTAAGTGTGTGCAATTACAAGATGATAGGTCATGACCTGGCAGGCCAAGTAGCAAACGTGGATGCCTTGAGCCACCTTCCATTGGCAGATACACCAGCGGTGATGGTGCCACTGGAAGAGTCTGTTCTAGTTTTAAGTTCTGTGGACACTCTTCTGGTCACCACTAACAATATCAGACTATTGATGCAAAGAAAATCCGGTCCTGGCTAAACCAAAATAGCTGATTGTGATGGGGGAATCAAAAGTGCCATTGCAATCACAAAAGGAAACCTTTCTGGACCCGACGATATCAGATCATTGCAGAGGATGGCATTTTATTAAGGGGAGCAAAGGTCACTGCCAGATATTGGCTAAACTCCAGCAGGGGCATCCAGGAGTATCCAAAATGAAGATGTTGGTGAGAAGTTATGTTTGGTGGTCAGTATTCGCTGCAGACATAGCTGCATTGGTGAATTGTGCCCAGAGTGCCAACAAGGACAAAAATGCCACCAAGCAAGTCCCCCACATTCGCAGGAATGGCTGAGTAAACCCTGGACTTGGCTACGTGTCGACATGTCGACTATGCCAACCCATTCATGGGCTCAACATTCTTAGACATTGTGGATGCTCTTAGTCAAAGTGGTTGGACATACGTACAGTTCATTCGTCCAACATGGGGATGTCAGTAAAAAACCTGTGAGCATCTTTTGCTCCTGGAAGTGTTGGTCTCAGACAACAGGCCATCATTTACCAGCAGGAAATTTGAGTACTTCCTAAAGTTAAATGGCAATCGGCATATAAGAACAGCTCCATACCATCCATAGTCCAATGGTCTGGCAGAAACAGCAGCCTAAACTTTGAAGGCATGCTTAAATAAACAGCTTTCAGCTTCACTTGATGCCAAAATATTCCAGTTGCTATTTGCTTATCGGACCCCCCTTCATGCAATAACAGGGAAAACTCCAGCAGAGTTGTTCTTGGGGAGAAGACACCGCACCAGGTTAAATCTGATCTTCCTGGACTTGGGGTGGTGGGGTGTGGTGAAGAGGGGGCGCGGAGGTTGAAATGGCATTAGGAACGCCAATGACAGACACAAGACTCCTCTAAAGAAAAGAGATTGTCCCCTGAAGTAAACAAAGTTTGGTGCCAAAACCACAGAAATGGCCCTGCATGGGTAAGAGGCATAGACAACGTCAGGTCAGGTCCCATGACGTACAAAATTCGGTTAGCTGAGGCAGCCCTGAACAATCATGTGGACCCATAAATGCTGCAAATTTACAAACTGGGTAGGAACAAACATACACACCTTTCAGAACAGCCAGAAAGACTGTCAGAACCCGTAGGTTCTAGACCTCTATATAGTGTCAAAGAAACTTGGAGTTTGAGATGGACACAGCAGGTACTGCAGCCTCGACACCTTTACCGCCTGAAGAAGAGGATGAATTTCTCCCAAGATGCTCCAGGTGCAAGAGGCAGGCTATGGTTCGGTACGTGCCATCTGGTCCAAGGCTAGGCAGGAAGAACTGGATCCGGTGCGAAAACGCCCAAGGACAAGAAAAAGAACAGGCCATCATCCTCTGAACAAAAGAAGAACAAAAAAGTACAGCACAGGAACAGGCACTTCGGCCCACCAAGCCTGTGTCGATCATCATGCCCTAATTAAACTAAATAAAACCTTCTGCCCTTATTCAGTCTGTATCCCTCTATTCCCCCTCTATTCATGTAACCATCCAGATGCCTCTTAAATGTTACAAATGTGACTGCTTCCACCACGTCCTCTTGGCAGTGCGTTCCAAGCTCCTACCACTCTCTGTGTGAGAAACTTCCCTTGTACCCCCTTGAACTTTCCCCCACTCATTGTGAACCTTTGCCCCATTGTTATTCAAACGTCAACCCTGGAATAAAACCTCTGACTATCCACCCTATCTATGCCTCTCATAATTTCCAGTGAAAACAATCCTAGTCTTTTTAACCTATCCTCATTGCCAATGCCCTCGGGCAGCATCTTGGTAAATCCTCTGTGCACTCTCTCCAAAGCTTCCACATCCTTCTCGTACTGTGGCAACCAAAACCCCACACATTACTTCAAATGCAGCCTAACAAGGCTTTTGTATAACTGCAACGTGGCTTGCCAACTCTTGTACTCCATGATACTCCTAGATCCCATCTGGCCCTGGGGACCTATCCAACTTAATGCAATTTAGGATACCTTAAACTTCCTCCTTTGATACATTGACATTCTCTAGAGTATTCACACACTCATCCCTGATCTCAACATCAGTCATGTCCTTCTCCTTGATTACTGAATGTCCTTGAATACTGATACAATGTACTCATTAAGGATCTCTCCCACTTCCTGTGGCTTCGCGCATAACTTCCCTCCTTTGTCCTTGAGTGGGCCTACTCTTTCCCTTGTTACCCTCTTTCTTCTAACAGGTGCATAAAACTTTGGGATTCTCCTTGACCCTGTTGCTTAAACACATTTCATAGCCTTCCTAATTCTGCGTTTAAGTTCCTTCCTAATTTCTCTATACTCCTCAAGGTCTTCATCAATTTGTAGGTGCCTAGACCTACCGTACATTTCCTTTTTCCTTTTGAGTAAGCTTACAATTTCCCCTGTCATCCATGGTTCCTGAATCCTGCAATTCCTATCCTATAGAGGAGAAGGGTGTAGTGATTGTAACAAGGTCAGCCAGATTATAACAAGGTCATAGAATATCAGTTCCCTGACTGGGGCTGTTAAAGTGGTCTGATCAGAGAGCCCTGGCTGACAGACATAAACAGGAGTGTCAGAGGTTCTGTTCATTCTGAGAGCTGGCTCTGAGGAAGCTGGACCAATGTCAAGTACTATGCATGTGTAAATAAAGGGTGAATTGGTGACGGGGTACTGGCCTCTGTGGAGTTACTTCAAACTCCAAAACCCCAACTGAAAGCAAAACTAAAACCCTGGGTCTTTGTGAACCTGACTCCAACCACTCATGCTTCTTCTGTCTGATTTTTTAAAAAGAAACAGTCGGAGCTCAAAGCTGTATACCCACTGCTTCTGAACCAGACATTCCATCACCAGTATAGCAACACCTCTCCAAAAGAGACTTAAAGGCATAGTACCACCACACTGAAGACTACTCCCCTTAGTCTTTGGGAAATGGCCTTTGTTTGAAGTACATGCAATGTGTTTGCTGCTTAAGGTGCTGGCACACATTTATGTGTTAATTTGATGTAGCATAATGTTGTACATCAATGTGTCCACCTGCTTAACTGTGCATTTTTGGTAAACATGACAAGCAGAAGTACTGTGAATCTGTTGGAAAAGCTTAGCAGGTCTGGCAGCATCTGTGAAGAAAAAAAATTCACAGCTAACGTTTCAGGTCCGGTGACCCTTCCGTTAACTCTGATTTCTTCTTCATAGATGCTGCCAGACCTGCTGAGCTTTTCCAGCATCTTCTGTCTTTGTTCCTGATTTACAACATCCACAGTTCTTTCGGTTTTTACTGTGAATCTGTAACATTCTGAATAAGGCAGTGAGGAGCAAAAACAAGGCAGAGATGGTGTGAGCATCCAAGCGGGCATGAAGTGAATGAGTACTATATCAGCAAATAAAGAGTCCTGAGATGCATCCCACTGTAGTACATGAGAATGATGCCCATCCCCGCTAGATTACAAAGGAACCTAGTAGCAGCATTATGATGCAAGGTGTTGGTGCTCTCCGAAATGCAGCATTCAAGTGGAGAACTGTATTGTGAGTGCCTGAGATATGCCATGATGATGTGGTAAGGTTGGTGCCTGTTCATTGCTTAGTTAGGGAACTGTAGATTACGAAAGTGGTGGTAAATTTCAGTATCCATGTCAATCACAGGCTTGGTGTGGTTGGAGAAATCATTTTTGAAGACTAGGAATTTGAAAAAGTGAAAGTAAAATTTAATAGTAACATGGCACGGTAATGAAGAAAAATTTAAGAGCTGTGGCCAGGATCACAGGAAACTTGAGGGGCAAGATTTTGAAACAACACAGTGTGGAGCTGGAGGAACACAGCAGGCCAGGCAGCATCAGAGGAGCAGGAAAGCTGACGTTTTGGGTCGGGGCCCTTCAGAAATGGGGGGGGGGAAGGGGGCTCTGAAATAAAGGGGGGGGGGGGGTGGTGATAGTAGGTAGATAGTGGAGCAGATAGGTGGGAGAGAAGACGGACAGGTCAAGGAGGCGGGGATGAAGCTAGTAAAGGTGAGTATAGCTAAGTGGTGGTGGGGATTGGTCAGTAAGGTGGGAGGAGCAAATAGGTGGGAGAGAAGATGGACGGGTCAATGAGGCAGAGATGGGGGGCACAGGGCTGGTCTTGGGAAGAGGTCGGGGGTGGGGAGATTTTGACGCTTGTAAAGTCCACATTGAGACCACTGGGTTGTAGGCTTCCAAGGTGGAATATGAGGTGCTGTTCCTCCAGTTTCCGGGTGACATCGTTGTGACACTGGAGGAGGCCCAAGATGGACATGTTGTCCAGGGAGTGGGAGGGGGAGATGAAGTGGTTCACGACTGGGAGGTGTTGTCGTTTGTCGCAAACCGATCGTAGGTGGTCTACAAAGCGGTCTCTGAGCCTCCACTTGGTCTCACCGATGTAGAGGAGGCCACATTGGGAACAGCGGATACAATAGTCCACAGTAGCGGATGTGCAGGTGAACATCTATTTGATGTGGAAGGTTTTTTTGGGGCCTGGGATGGAGGTGAGAGGGGAGGTATAGGGGCAGGTGTAGCACCTCCTGCGGTTAGAGGGATAGGTGGCGGAGATGGTGGGGCTAGTGGGAGTATGGAGTGGACGAGGGAGTCGCGGAGAGAGCGGTCCCTCCGGAAGGCAGAGAAGGGTGGGGAGGAAAATATATCCTTCATAGTGGGGTCCGATTGCAGGTGGCGGAAGTGGCGGAGAATGATGCATTGAATCTGGAGGTTGATGGGATGATACCTCCATCCTAGACCCCAAAAAACACCTCCATCCCAGGCCCCAAAAAACACCTCCATCCCAGGCCCCAAAAAAAACCTCCACCTAAGCTCAGTTCGTGACACATGACAACACCTCCCAGTTGCGAACCACTTCAATGCCCCCTCCCACTCCCTGAACGACATGTCCATCCTGGGCCTCCTCCAGTGTTACAACGATGCCACCTGGAAACTGGAGGAACAGCACCTCATATTATGCCTTGGAAGCCTACAACCCAATGGTCTCAATGTGGGCTTTACTAGCTTCAAAATCTCCCCACCCACGCCCTCATCCTAAGATCAGCATCCCCTCTCACCCCCACCTCATTGACCTGTCCATCTTCTCTCCTACCTATCCGCATCTCCCACCTCACTGACCAATCCCCACTAATGCATACCTACACTCACCTTTACTTGTTTCATCACGGCCTCCTTGACCCCTCCTTGCTGTGTTATCCTGCATTGGCAGTTTTTACTACCTCCGAAGATTTTGAAACAATTGGGTTGGGTTTACATTTGGAAAACACATACAGACAAATTTTATAGTTTGGGTTCAAAGGTACGTGCATACTTTTTGGAAAGGGTCATAAATATTTGTGCACAGTGGTTGACATTTCAAGCTTTTCAGGTTAGGTTCTTTTCACAGCCAAGAAGCTGAAAGAAAACTTTGAATTTTGAAAGACTGGTGATTCTTTTTGAAATAACTGCTTGATGCAGGTTGGGAACTCTCATATTCTACCTGAATCAAGAAAAAAGAATATAATTCCACAGATTGGTTTTTGGAAAAATGTAGTGATTTATTTAGTATGTAGGCTAAGAGTAGAACTAGTTGTCATAATTGTGATCTAGCAAAGACCTTGTAAAGAAAAATGAACTTCTGAAATGTTACATATTTGCAGATTAATGAGTACAAAACCAAATCCTGATTTAAATTGGCATTTTGATCAAAGCTGGAGAGAGATCAAATGAATATAAAATCTGTTTTTAAATGACAAAAATGTTCAGGCTCTGTCTGTTCATGGATCATAAAAATTACATTCATTATGGCTCATCGGTCCACATTTTTACATGAGGCCTCAACTTTTCTTTCCTACTTCACATATATCAAAGGATATTCTCAGTCAAAGTGAAGTATCGAGACATTGCAAGTTCACTCTTAAAATATAGCACTACTAGCTCTAGAGAATCTTGGGGAAGTAGCTTCACATTTCTATGACATCAATGCCAGGGGCAGCAGTATTATATTCAGACTACCATTATAACAAACTGATATTGGAGCCACTACTTACCTCCCAGTGAATCCACTTGTATAAGGAAAGATCAATTTTCCTGAAATCATCTGACGTAACATCACGTAAATCCCTAAACATAACCACATCTTAGGTCAAACTTGAATACAGATGTCATGCAATTGTCAATGGCTTTAAGAATTAAAGGACAAGGTGCTTTTTTAGGTACACCAAGTATTTGTTTACATATTCCATTTTAAACAGTCTAATTAACAGTGGGAATGCATTTTATTAACTTATAATCAAAATAAGGATCGTCAAGTGTAAAATTACACGTTTAATTTATATCCAAAAATTAAGTAAAAGAATTAAATTTAACAAATAACTAAAGCCTTACCAGTAAGAAGTATCTTGCTTCCTCCTACCTCTATGATTTTCCCTTGCAATTCCTTCTGGATTTTCTCCACCCCTTTCCTCCATCATATTCTCACTGTTTATACGTGTTTTATCCAAATCACCGTGAACTACGAAGTGTACAAAGCCTCAAGCTCCACACTACACTTGTGTTGCTGTGGCAAATAGCTTCTGAGACAGCTGGCATTTTCCCAAAGACAGATTTGAAAAAGAAAACAGAATTCTTGTCAGTGTTCTCAAGGAAGGTTAGGTTCTGTGCTTGGATACTCATGCTACACTATGATACTGCTGGCAGCTGTAGGCAAACCTCTGTCCAGCGATGAGTGTCTATTAAAATTGAATCTCGTCAGTTCTTCACATAAAAAAAAATCTGGAGAATTTTTTAAATACTATGTTAGCATTTATTGTCCATCCCTAAATGCCCAGAAGGCAGTATAGAATCAACCACATGCTATGGTCAGCACTTTTATGATCTTTGTACTCTACAAATTATTACTCCAATCTAAATTTAGATTTTTGACCCAATCAAAGCATCTCCAGCACCTAGTCATTATAAGAGCATATATCATTGAACAGACACACAATGTCAAATAGATTTGGACATAAAGTTCATCCTGGCATTCAGTCAGTGTTTAAAGGTCAAGTAATCAAAACAGTCGAAGAAACCATTTATGTATTAACTGTTTGAAGTCAAGCCAATTTTGACCTTCAGACATCTGTTCTGCTTGCTGAATGTGAAAAACCCACCTGACCCAAAAATTAATGGGAAGATGCCTGAAGTAGCTCCAAGTATTCCCTTTCAAACACAAATCACCAGCATGAAAAGTAAAATTCAGTCATGAAGTCAATCAAGTACTTAACTGAAACCACAGGGACAGAACAGTTCCATGTAAAATATTCAGTTATTTAATTAAGTTAGGTATCTAAAGAAACTTCATCAAAATCTAGGAAGTGGAGATAGGAGTACAATACTTTAATCAGGACTGCTTAGGGCAGAAACTGGACAGCAAAAGTAAGGATTGCTCTGGAAACAAAGCAAATTTTATTTTTTCTTTCATTACATGTACAAATTATATTTTAAATGTTCTAATTTTAAAAATGTAATTTAACTTATTATTTAATTGATTATTGAACATATATTTGATTTTTGTTCCATGCACAAGGTATGTATTACATGTGCCAAAGTAGAAATACTCCTTTTGAGATATTAACTGAACACTCTAAATTTCTTTTGTCATTCTGTGAAAAAAGGTACAGGCAGAAATCTGGGGAAGTAATGATATTATCCATCTAATATTCTTCACTCCATTTTCTTTAACCAGTCTATTTAAAGGGAATAACACAGATGCACATAAAAGGAAGATGAAGAAGCGCGAGCGAGGGAAAAAAAAGGAAATGTATTTATTTATGGGATGTCAGCATTCCTAATTGAGGTGCTGAGCAATAATTTTGACATGAAGTACTGTTAATTGAGATCCAGGATTTTGATCCAGTGATGATGAAGGAATAGTGATATTTTCCAAGACAGGATTTATGCATTGCTTGGAGGAGAATGTGGATGTAGATGTGTTCTCATTCACCAGCTTCCCTCGAACTTCTAGGAAGCAAAGGGAGCAGTTTAGGAAGTACTGTAGAAGCAATTTCATATTCCTGCAGTACAAATTGTTGCCATTGTGCCCTGGTGCTGTAGACAGTGAATGTTTAAGGTGGTAGACTGGGTGCCGATTAAATGGGCTGCTTTATCCTGAAACGGTTTTGAGCTTCTTGGGCGATATTGGAGCTGCATTTATTGAGCCAGGTAAAGACCCTATACCCTTGACTTGGCGGCATGGTGACTCAGTGGTTAGCACTAGTGCCTCACAGCACCAGGGACCTGGGTTCGATTACACTGTCAGGCGACTGACTGAGTGCAGTTTGCACATTCTTCCAGTGTCTGCGTGGGTTTCCTCTGGGTGCTCTACTTTCATCCCACTGACTGAAGATGTGCAGGTTAGGTGGATTGGCCATACTAAATTACCCATAGTGTCCAGGGATGTGAAGGTTAGGTAGATTAGCCATGGTGAATGCAGGGCTATAGGGGTAGGGAGTGAATCTGGGTGGGATGCTCTTCAAAGGGTCGGTGTGGGCTCGATGGACCAAATGGTCTGCTTCCACTCTACAGGGATTCCACTCTGCAGGGATTCCATGATTTCTGCCTTGCAAGTGTTGGCAAGACTTTGGGGAATCAGGAGATGACTCACTCACTACTGAATTTCCAACATCTGACCTGCTTTCCTGGCCATAGTATTTATGTTGCTAGACCATTTAAGGTTCAGGTCAATGAGAACCACCATTCCACACCAATTCCCCTCCCCTATATCCTGTAATTTTGATGGTAGGGGTATCAATGATGATCATGCCATCGAAAGACAAGCGAAGGTGGTCGGCAGGATTGTTAGTTGCCACTGAGCATCCAAAACCTATATCTTGAACAGGTCTTGCTACATGCATGCACAAATGGCTTCATTACCTGGAAAGTTGGGAATGGAACTGAAAATTATATAATCATCAGTGAAAGTCTTCACTTATGGGAAAAAAAAAGCAGAAAATGCTGGTAATGGTATTTGAGGTATTTTGCTCTTGTGATCCTCACTATATTGAAAGGCAAGGTCATCAATGAGGCAGCTGGTCTAGGAATTCCTACAGCGATGTCCTGGAGCAGAGATGATTGAACGCCAACAACCACCATGATCTTAAAAAAACAAGAAAATAAACTGCACAGAAATTGTTTAAGAAATTCAGCAGATCTGGTGAAATCTGTGGGGAGAAAACTCTTCTTCACTATCTTTTCTGGTGTCAGGTATGTTCTGGGCAGTGAAGATCCTTTCCCTGATTTCCACTGAATTCAATTTTACTTTGTGCATCACACTCTCACGTAAGTGGTGATTTGCTGGCAAGGATTATGCTTGTATGGTTAAATAAGAGTCCAAAGATCTGCAGGTTAGATGGATTGGCCATGCTAAAATGTCCATACTGTCCAAGCATGTGTAGGTTAGGTGGACAAAGTCAGAAGTCACACAATACCAGGTTATAGTGCAACAGGTTTACTTAAAATCACAAGGTTTCAGAGTGCAGACCCTTGATCAAATCAAGTGACAGGGAACAGCACACAGACAGAGAGATCAAAAGATCATACAACTGATGCCAGTGGAGTGTCAAATAAGTTTCTGCAGGTGACAGGTGACCAAGAGTGTTAGATAGTCTGACTGAAGTGTCAACAGCTGAATAACAAGCGAAGGTGACCTATAATCTGATTAAATGGGGCAGAAAGAAAATTACAAGAAATTAAAAATAAGATGGTGCTGGAGACAAACTGAATGACTAGAATAATATGATAGATATAACAGTCGCATGCCGAGGGCTAACCAAAGTAATAAGTAATCCAAAACTGCACAAAGTAATTAAGGTAGAGAGCTCATAACAATTTATCAAGGTGATGGTGTCAAAACAGGACAATAAGGAAGATTTTACAGATACAGAACAGTGGTGTGGTCACATGTAGCGCGACATGAACCCAAGATCACAGTTGAGGCCATCTTCATGGATACGGAACTTGGCTATCAGTTTCTGCTCAGTGATTCTGCGTTGTTGTGATTCTCGAAATCCGCCTTGGAGGATTTACCCAAAGACTGGAGACTGAATGTCTTTGACTGCAGAAGTGTTCCCTGACTGGGAGGGAACATTCCTGTATGGTGATTGTTGCGCATTTATGAGAGAGACAACATTGGTAGAGTCACATGATGTAGCTTCCATGGGCATGGTGCGTGGTGTTCCCACGTGTGATGATAGTATCCATGTTAATGATCTGACATGTCTTGCAGAGGTTGTGTGGTGTTGTCATCGATGTTGTTCTGAAGGTTGTGTAGTTTATTGTAAATGACGGTTTGTTTAAGGTTTGGTGAGAAGTGGAGGCATAGGGATGATCTTGATGAGATGCACATCGTCATTGATGACAAGTTTAAGGCTATGAAGAACATGGCATAGTTTCTCCACTCAGGGAAAGTACTGGATGCCGAAGGGTACTCTATTGGATGTATCCTGTGTCTGCCTTCTGAGTGGGTCAGTGCAGTTTTTTGCTTTGGCATGTTGGAACTGGCGATCGAGGAGTTGAGACTTGTATCCCGTTCTTATGAGGGTGTCCTTTAAAATCTTTAGGTGTCCATTCCTTCTCATCTGAGCAGATCCTGTGTATGCACAAGGCTTGTCTGTAGAGGATGGCTTCTTTAATATGTCTAGGGTGCAAGCTAGAGAAGTGCACTGGTTCATGGAAATTTCTGTGTAGTTATTCACCAAATGTGTATGGAATGGCCTTATTCAAGACACAAATAAACATAGCATCTATCAGGGACTGATTACTTCAGTTGGTTCAATGGCTATTTTGTAGTTCAGAAGAATGACAATAGCTCTGTGCTGGCCAATGTAGACTTGGGATGTGCCTGTTTGCCCTGTCCCTGAGGGGGACAGACAATGGCAAATTACCATTGATATAAAAACATCTAGAAAATGGCTCAGGATGAAGCATCAATATTCAGTGAGCTAAGGATGTGCATTTCAGCAGAGCGCACATGAATGAACAATATGATCTAATACAAATTGAATATTTTGTGCAACTTAAAGTTATTGCACCTCAAATATAAGAATATGTGAAAATATGTATGTTTTTGCAAGCCTTTGATTGAG